CTTCCAAGCGTATCGGCAGGCGAAAATCTCAGGCAAATCAAGTCATTACAAGTACCATTAGTGAGAACTCCATTGACGAAATGATATTGTTAGAGAGGCAAAGTTTGATGGTATAAACATAACGTGAAACATTGTGCTAATATTAAAGATTGAATATGCCATTTTTCAAATATAAGCAAGGGAACTTCATAATTCAATCTGCTCTAATGAAAAATAGCGGCGGGCAACCTATTAGAGGAATGAAAATTAGGTGGGGTATTTTTTATAGAAAAAATGCAAAGTCAAAGCTGCAGCTCTCACCCTCAACCCCTCAGCTACCATCCACCAAAAAGGAAGGGGAAAATCCGTATAGTCTAGTATATTGGCTGTTCATAAAGTGTCATGTGCAAGCATTCGTCTCCGGTTTTAAAAGCTCAAAAATATGATTAAAACTTTTGCAGTAGTAGTCGAAAACTTATATCATTTCTTCAATGTTTTATACAAATACTTGTAGTTATTGAAAATTCTCCAAAACAACTACAGGGATGAGCTACCATGTCATTTTCACGTTGGTATTAAATAGTTAAAGTATTATGCAAAACTGCAAAAGTTAAAGCCTGCATCCGTTCCATATTTTGTTAATAGGACAATGATCCAGATGTTAAAAGCACCTTTAAATAAACGTATCTACTAACAACTTTGGTCCAATCATTGAGAGTGAGAGCGTGTGAAGTGCAGGATTTATTATTTTTCTACCTAGTGCAAAATTGATGAAGTTGTCCTAGGAGGGGATGCTTCAGCTAAAAAGGGCACTCTGAGAGGAGCAGAACCCACAATAAATTTTGAAAATTTATATGGAGTCTCTTTTATGATAATTTAAATACAATCAGTACTTTCCGTCTCTATGTTTATAAGAAATGAAATGGAAAATCGAAGAAGGAAAATCCGAAGCTCTCTCATTTTCTTTCGGTCAGCAGTCACACTTTAATGGCCGCATTTAGTCAATTTTGAAATAATTGTCATCTTAGTGTTCTAAATAATAATCATCCCCAGAAAAAATTGTCCAGGGGAAGCCCTGGGGACCGGGGCAAACCCTAAAATGTTTTTATTAGGAATTATACTTTCTCTCAATGATTGGATCAAAGTTGTTCATTTTGGAATAAGCTTACCCAAGACAACAATGGAGATAATTTTAAATCCACCGATTCTAACTCAAAAATTCAAAATTCACCTGAGCGGATATTTTTCATAATGCAATATTTCTATTTTGAGTGAAAAGATATTGCATCTAAATACAGATTGAAACTTCAAGAGAGTCGCATGGTGCCAGAGACAAGGTATGTCAGGCATAGCAAAAATCCTGTTTCTTTATGATAAGTTCAGAACGTCATCAGTCGAATCAAATCTGATGGAGCGTGTCTAGCGCCTGCGTTCCTCGAGTAGATAACTATTCACGTTCTTCTGTATGTTTGTTGCCTACGCGACAAAATTGAAGGCGAACTTTAGATAGGCAATACCTTCCAACTAGATCGAATGGCTCCCATATTCTCACCAGGGTAGGTTGGGGGAAAGGGCGATTAAAAAAGAGCGCAAAAACAGCACCTCCATCGGATGAATTTTAGATGATTTGAGAGGAGACTTTAGAGGCATTTCGGATGTTGATTTCTGGATTACAGTTCGGCTGTCAAACATTTGAACACCATAATTTATTTTTCAGTTTCTGAAAAAATTGTGAACCAAAAGTAAAGATCATATTGTTTCAAAAAGCATGCACAATATATTGCTTCATTCAGTCGTTTGAAGTCAGTAATTGTGAGCCTTTATAGTTTAATTAAATAATTTTTTCGGCCTTTTATTCTCTTAATGCTTGGACATGGCTAATCTCTGGGATAAAAATCATCAAAGATCTTAAAAGGCACGAAAGTATCATCATTGAATGGTGATCATCGAAAAACAATGTTCCTGGATTCTCATTAGGTTTTCCACTACTACTACTTACATGCTGATTTTCCTCTGCGACACCCTACCGCCACAGGTAGCGATCCTGCCAGAGCTCCTGTGGCAAATCGCATCTTCTCATTTCCTAGCTTATACCGTCAGTCCACAATTTAACAGGGCGTGCTCTACGGTTTCTACCAGAGAGGACCCAGCCCAGAGCCCTCTTAGGCGACCTACATCTGGCATCCTTTGCACATGCTCATACCAGACAAGCTGTCTCGTGAGAATGGCACGCACTCTATTTTTTCGACGCCCATATTTTCACGGTTTTTCATTACAATACCTTAAATGAACGTGTCAGGATTAGCAAGTTTACACGTAATGAAAAAAGAACAGACTATGTCACAGTGCGCCAACACTACCTTAACGATTATTGAAGATCTTCTTAGACCCCTAAAATCTACTAATGTTATTTTATTTTTCCTAGGGATCCATATTTTTATACAGTTTTCTAGGGATTCATATGGATCCCTAGAAAACTGACCCATTCATATGATGTAAATGGACTAGTTGCGCTAGTCGTAGAATTGTGTTTTGATGCTTGTCTCTAGTAGATTAGCTAAAAATATTGAGATATGTCCAAACCGCAACTTTTTACGTTCAATATCAACCGAACCCCCCCCCCCTTTGAAACCCCCCTCCCATGAATAGCCTTGAAAAGTCGGAGTTTTGACGTCATCCACCGCGGTAGTGACACCCTTGATTTCTTCCACCTTGATTTTAGCAGTCAGCGAGACACACACTGGCACCGGTTACTCTACGTGAAACGCAGCTGCAAGCAAGGTAGAAGAAACCAAGGGTGTCACTACCGCGATGGATGATGACGAAAGCACGACTTCTCAAATGGCATTATTTCGCTTAATACTAAATGTAGAAAGTTACGATTTGGACGGATCTTAATATTTTTAGCTAATCTACAAGAGTTAAGAATCAAAACACAATTCTGTGACCAGCGCATCTGACTCATCAATTATACATCAGCGTCGCTCTCAGAGCGCTCTCCGGCGCTCTGCGACGCCTAACCGCCACAAAACTCGGTCCTCCCACAGGTCATCAGGGAGTTGGCACACCCTCATCTCATCCATAACCCCCTGTCGCCAACCTTTCACCGGGCGTCTCTTTCGTCTCTTCCCAGGAGAAACCCAATCAAGTCTTTTTTGGCAGCCTCTCTTCCGTCATCCTATTGACATGACCGTGCCAGACAAGCTGTTTGGTCATGACGTCGAACACTGACTCATCATACAAGAGTTCCATAAGCGTGAATTAGAGTGTGCACCGTCTATCAAATAAGAAAGCAATGACATTACAAATCACCCCGACACCGTAAGGGTCAACCTGGTGTGGACACATCTTTGTCCATTATCTGTTAGCGTTACCGCCCTCTCAGCGTTATCACTGACCCTGTCCACCCCTTGATAAACTCGGAGGTGAGTGGCGAGTGTGAGTGACAGTGGGAGCTCGTGTGAATGGAGGAAAAAGAACGGGCCGTTTAATGAAGAGAGGCGAGTGGTGATTCGCGGTGGTGCGACGAGTGAGGACTACCAAGTACCAACAGTAGTCAACAACGCTAGCAACACTTCAACAGGTGCTTTGACTGCTCTCAGCCGCGACTCCTCCAGCGCCGCCGCCGCCGTTAATCACAAACCTTGCCTCGTCGCCAAGTGGGTGTCCAAAGAAAAAGCTCCATTAGCACCGTCTGTACCACCCCCTCCGAGAAAAAAATATGAAAGGATGCGCACACTATGCTTCTTACTTTAAAGGAGCTCTGCTGTTAACATTACCTGGACCGTTGAATTAAGGGTTAAGCACATTATTAAAGCATTTTCAGTGAAATTCGGAGTGCATTTCATTATGAAGTATATTTTTGTCCCAAAAAATCAAAAAGATAAGAGTGCAAGATGAAATCTTTTATTTCTTCAGGGTGGATTTATATCTCACAGAACGGGATCAACCCTTAATTTGGAGGAAACTACAATTGTGTTGTACAGATTTCTCTCCTTCTTTACATCACTGAGGTTTTTTGGAGGATTTCTGTTTTTTTTTTTTTTTTTTTTTTACTTTCCAGGCTCTAAAAGGAAAAGCACTAATGATTTCACTCCAAGATCTTTAACGTCATAAACGAGAAAAAAAGAATGTTGGTGGTCACTAGCTTCCTGATCACGTGTGATTCTCAGGAAACGCAGTAGTCGGTGCTAGATTTCTGACAGTGCTTCTCAAGCAGACGCATAATTACTACTAACAGGATTTTAGTACAGGTCACTAGATTTCCTAGCGATCGTAAATAAACAGAAATCTAATGCCCACTGACATAATTTTTTATCCGTATAGTTGCATTAGCACATTTTATAAAATTCTCAGGGATCGTTCATTGGTCATTATGAAATGAAAATCAGTGTTGCTACTTGCTCGGGAAAAATATTCAGTAGCTGAAGTTAAACTTTGCCACGATCGATAAATTGAATAACTTTGATTGATATTACGAGTTCGGAAACCGTGTGCCACAGCACTTAAGTGTATTGGTTAAGATGATTTGGTCGCTTTTAATCTGACTGTAATTTCCTATATTTGAAATATAAATTTCATAATAAATTGACTTAGGACGACTCTCGCTGCCTTGAAAATAGGATAAGAGGATACTAAGGGAGTGTTTGCCTTATTAGTTACTAAGTGGAGAGCTGACTAATTTGTTTGATTCGTCAAAAAATATGAAACATGTAAACAAAGTTTTTTTTTAAAAAAGACAATTGGACAATTTTCGTCCTTCGAACATTTTTTTGTCGACGAAAATGATTCTTTTTCAAGTCTACAACACTACGACTGAGCTGAAATGTTTGAGCGCTTCAGCAAATACATGACGTTCCATTGTGCGGCGAGTTGGGTCAGCTAACCCACCGGCGACCGGCGTACGACGCTTCAGCCGGTCATAACTAGGTTAATATCGATGGTCATTCCTCGCGCCAGTTACGTCACCCAGCTCATTCACTCCTCCTCCTTCTTCTTCTTCTCTCGGCGACAATTTTTCGACGAGAAAAAAGTCCATTTTTCGCCTTGCTCGAGTAATTCACCCATTTTTTGTCGCCGCTAGTCCAAATCCCGACTCGTCCGCCGCGAAAAACGTTTTTACCGTCGGCCTTTTTTTTTTTCGTTTTTGTTTTTGTTGTTTTTTTCCACCTCGGTTGAAATCGGCGGAATTTGCGAGTTCTTCGCCCGACTCAGCTTATTCGTGCGCGTCCTACCGGACCGGCATCGGCACCCGTAGAATCCGTTCTTTTTTACGGTCGCCTTTTTCCAAACCTGTCGTTTCCTGTGTTATTGCCCCTGCGTTCAAGTCACTGGCATGTGTTTTGTTGTTCGTCAGTGTTGAAGCTCGGATAAGCCGCGTCACGAAGATCTCCAGGATTTTAATCGAGCTACTGGGAACGCACCGCTTCCTGAATTCTTCAGAAATCTAAGGTGAGTTTCTGATTTCTTTTTGTTTTTTCTCACGGGAGTATTATTAAAAATCGAGTTGGTTGCTTCAAAATTAAGTTCGATCTCGATTAAGACGTCACTTTTAAGAGAGCAATTAGAGGGAAAATTCAAAGTCTTTCCTATTGATTTCTGGCCGATTTTGTTCTACGTGACTATGAAACCGATGATTACACTGGAAAAAAACACATTGGATCTGGAGTCCAGACTCTTAAAAACATCGACAAGAAAAAATACTCTTGATTCAATCGGATTTTTGCTTAAATCAAGAACCAAGCCTCTTAATTTGAGCGGATTTTCTTTCGATCTAAGCAAAAATCTGATCGAATAAAGAGTATTTTTACTTGTCGATGTTTTCAAGAGTCTGGACTCTAGATCCAATGGGTTTTTTTTCCAGTGTATGCTGGCTCTCATGTTAGCTACTGACCAGTTTTGTTTTCAAGATTGTATTGGTCAACAAATATCGGTGCATCAAAATTCCATGCGCATAAATACTTGAAATTGCACTTGTTTCTGAAATATTATCGTAATGAATGTGAGTACACGCCTCAGGCATAATAAGGGTAGATTCCAAGAGTTATGAAATGGTGCGCCAGTTACCAAACATATTGCAGTATTGCAGAGTCGAAAGGATTGTGATCCACGATCGGAACATTTTAAAATGATGTTAAGTAAACAGATAAATTTTAAGAATATAAAACTTGAATTTCTTAGGCCAAAATTGGCATAACTGTGACTAGATTTTTCCTCTTCACTCATTACAAGGTCTAACATCCAAAAAATGCGATTCAAAACCGACAGATGGACGATTTTTAATGACGGTAAAAACCTACGTGCAAGAAGACACCCTCTAGTATATTTTCCTGAAAAATTACTTACTTATGGATATTTTTACGTGTTATTTCTTCTTCTGATAAAACTTGACATTAAGGCCCACTTGCAAAACTTTAGGGGCACATTCGGTGAGTTTTTAGGCATCGTTGTGGCAGAGAAATTTCATAACTGTCACCGTTGATAGCTTCAAGAACATGGCCCTGAAAACTATTCACAGTGGAGCCTGAAAAAGAGGCACTTGTCAAAGAATGTTTATTTTCATTTATTTTGAACCAAGAATTATGACCAGTATATGATGTATGTTAAAAATAATTCCATCGAATCGTGTCACGAATTATTCATTAGGTTTCGGTTAAAATTTCCATCAAAATCCGTGCAATTCTAATCTGTCACAAATTGTTTGTTCACAAAAGCGCGTGATGTATAATGCTTCTTCAAAACATTGCCTAATGAAAGTAGGAGTTATATCAACAAATTATTGATACAGACATTTCAGTCTTATCCTCTTCGAAATCGGTTAATGATCTCAAAATTTAAAAAAGTTATGGGGGAATATTGACTCAGTTAAGTCAAGGAGTACTAATTTCAGAAGTTGTATGATGTAGAGAGCACTGATTTTGAGTAAGACATCAGCAATTTAACGTAAATGGAAGTCTTAAAACAAAGAATGATTGAAAAGATCGTCTCCAATTAGAGGATGCGTCAAAAAGCACCACTATTGTGATTTACTTCATCAAAGCCCTACAATTTGCCCTCGTTTTTTCTCTTTCTTTGTTTGTTTCGCCATCGGTGTGCAAAAGTTTCATCCCTTCTTGGTTGACACATCACAATGCTTGCATTAAGCAAAGAAAGGCATAAAAATTCCACAACGTCGTACACATGTAGCTCTTTCGCCGGGGAAGAAGCGGTAGGCAGAAATACCATACTTTTGGTGTTTCGATGATCATTGAATCGTGTAATGCCTATGCCTATGATTACAAATTCGCTTGGTGAAACCTCGTTTACGATCATGCGAAGCTCATTTCTACATGTCGTTAGAATACCGATTCTTATTTTTCTTTTTCTTTTTTCTTTTTTTGGGCCCCGTCGGGTCAAAACATTGACAAGCTATCGCGCATCCTACCTCCGTCAGCACTTGCCGATCATCCGAAGCCCTAGGGGTTGATAAAGATATTGCGTGAAAAAAAACCGATTTCAGGACTTCATTTTCACTCATTCTTATGGTCCATCAACAAAAACCAAACGTCAAAAATCGGCCCATAGGTTGCTGATCTACGAATGTTATGTCAGAAGTGTCCTTCTGTTTTCCTTTTTTTCAAGCAAGCCGTAAACCTAAAAAAAAAAACAAATTATGATTTGCAGGAAGATATTTCCTCAGCTTTCAAACAGTATATCAGGATTTGGAATTTCACAAATGGTAACTTTGGAAGAGCAGTTTCTTGCGATCGAATTTTAACATTTGCCGACAAAATTCACGATGATTGCATTTAAGTTGAATTTCGAGGTTGATATTGTTAAGAACTGTAAGCCCGATTAAAAAAATAACCATGTCGTTTAAAAGATAATATTTTTAACTCTATTCGAAATTATTGGTTAATGTCCAACGATTTCAACTTTTGAATATTCTTGCAAGGAAATAAATGACGCCATCGGGTACTTCATTTTTTTTTTTTTTTTTTTTTTTTTTTTTTTTAAAAAAGAAAAATGTAAAACCATAGCCATATGTAGCATCGGTAGCATCATTCATTTTTCAACTCTTCTTGTAAAATTTCTTCTAAATTGTCAAAATTTTCATTCTTTGAAGGAGTCCTTTTTTTTCTTCATGGATTCTAATTACTCTGAAGAACCTTAGAGTCAAAACCTGTAAATTTTCGAACGTTCACTCGAAAAAAACTTTTCGGTCAATTTCGCTAGGCGTTATGAGAGAACGATACCGTTCGGAGGCCGTACTCACAAGTTTAGAGGTCACTGCCTCATCTAGCATAATCTCGTTGAAACCAGTCCGACAAGCCAATTTAATCGAACGGTGTGCTAGGTGTTAAGGTTCTTAGGTGACCGACATCTCGGATACTCTCCATTAATTATCATTAGTCAAAATATTTACATACGCAAACCGATAATCAAGATAATTTCAAATATGGATTGCTTAATTTCATAGAAGCACAGTTGAATCTAACTACAAGGCTCAAAGTTCTCGCCGCTCTGCTATACGACGTCGGAGTCATACCCGTCTTTTAACTGATGGTCGTGGGTCTTGAATCACAATTCCGGAAAAATTTAAAACCCGTTGATAGTGCAATAACTTTTCTTGAAAAGGTGATGAATTTTACCATCATTTTTACACATCAATGTGACTCTCAGTCAGAGCTAAACCTAATACTGGCATCGTAAAGGGATCTGTTTTCATTGTAACTACCGAATCCTGGTAGCTGAAGTAGTCAAACTGAATATGCCATATGCCTTCGAGTAAAAAAAATTAAAATTTTATATCAGCTTAAGGGAATTGACTCTGAATCATTTGGCCCTAAAAACACCCACACATTCTAAGTTTTAGCCTTTTGAAGAAATTCTGAAGGGAGAGAATGATAAATCGCAATTTCAAGAAAAACGCAGCTGTATCTTGCCTTCGCCGTTGTCGACGGTTAGGGGGTGTGTGTGTGTGTGCCTGTAGAAAAAGTTCTTTTCAAACGTTTATAACATTACTTCATAATGCTCATAACGAACTAATGTTTTGATTCACTATTGTTGAAAGCTTGAAAGAGCGTTAAGCATAAAATCGGTCTTCATAGACACTTTAAAAATAAGGCACTTTCATGGCATGCATTTTCAGAGTTTTGGCTCATACTTTTATTGCCACGGATTGGTCACCAATACCGCGAAACGCCCGTCAGAGTTTTGGCCGAGTAGCGGCCTGAGGCAGACCCCCAAATTTTTAATCGTTTCCTTGAAACCCCTCAATTTATCGACAAGGTCAGGTCAGGCTCACCATTCCATACATAACATTTAAAACTGGCCGGAGTATTTTTATTCCTCTCTCTTTTCCTCCTAAGTGGAATCAGAACCATCAAAAAGCCCGATGAATCGGCTCCTCATTACTTGCTCATTGGTCAAAATCCTAACCTTGTTCACTGACCCACTGGACAGGCGACATGCCGCCGCCGCACAGTGGACCGAGTCAATCAGAAAGGTCGGACATGAAATTTTTGACTAAAACTGCAAATTTTGATGTTTATTTCGTCCTATTTAAAATTCCAAAGGGTGCTTTTTGAAGAAAATTTCACGAGGAAACCAATGAAAAAACTTCTAGAAGCTCCAAGTTTTGTATAAACGGAGTTATAAGCGTTGAAAGTTTCCAAATTTCGTCCGACCTCTCCTATTGACTCGATCCACCGTGCGCCGCCGGTCCAAATGAATAGGAGGCGAGAGTTCGATGATCGGCATTGACGCTGCACCTGCGAGGAACCTCGTAAAAATGCTCCTTTACACGCTGCCGTGCTAAGGAAGAACGCCGTATGAGCCGTCAGGCGTTGCCATATTTATTTCACTAAAAAATGAATTTGCTCAGAAAATGGTGTATATTTTCCTTCACTTTTTTCAGGCAATTTTGTGTACAATTTCTTCTAAAATATCTGAGAATTTCAAGGGGAAAATGCATAATTTTCCTCATAAATACGTGTTGTATGCGGAGAATTTTGACAACTCTCGAATGCTCATACGGCGTTTCTCCTCAGCCTTTACTAAAAAACGGTTTAACTTAGAAAATTGTGTATATTTTTCTTCACTTTTTTTAGACAATTTTGTTTACAATTTCTTTTAAAATATTTGAAAATTTCAAGGGAAAAAATGCATAATTTTCCTCAAAAATACATGTCGTACTCGTATGCGGAGAAATTTGACAACTCTCGAATGCTCATACGGAGTTTCTCCTCAGCACGGTACACAGTGAATCGAGTCAATCAGAGAGGCCGGACATCAAATTTATCACTAAAACTGCAAATTTTTATTTTTATTTCGTCGTACTTCAAATTTTGAGGGGTGGTTCTAGAAGAAAATTCCACAAGGATGCCAACGGTACCAACTATGAAACCTCAAAGTTTTGTATAAACGGAGTTATAAGCTGTCAAAGTTTCCAAAGTTTGTCCGACCTCTTC